ATGAATCAGAGCCATTAAATTACTTCTAGCAAACTACTACTATCCAACAGAAAGATCACATTTACTAGACTATTGGGCAAGACATTTACTTTTACATCTTCTTTAAGGGAGAAGGACTTGAGAAGGAAGAAAAATTAAAAAAAGTTTTCAGCTACTCAGCAAGTTCAAAAATAAATTAACCTCTTCTTAAAAAAAAACCCCTTAGATTTCAAAAGTATCAGTCAATACTGCACCCTATCTCCCCAGTGACACAAAACGTCAATGCTATGTATGCGATACAATTTCTCTGTGAGACAAGATGGACTCAGGATATGTATACTGCATGTATGTACAATTGTGTCTCCATCATTCATCTGGCGGTGGCACCGTGCCATACTGCACACATCCAACACTGAACATTCACAGGGGTTTTCACGTTAAACCTGTTCTATAATAACTGTGCATCAAAACTCTGCAGTCTTTCAGTGTGCCTGCACTGCCTTTTAAGGACCGGCCATAGGTCACACACCAAATTAGAACTGCGGTTCGAGCCGATGGTGAGCCTGAAACTGTGGTCCCGGGAGGAGTCAGAGGTGAACCTGGGCACACCTGAAGCGTAGACCTGTAGGGTGTCTGTGAGGCGGCTGATGGGAGCTGCAGCCAGTCAGCTGAAATGCAAGTCAGGCTCAGACCATTCTCCTGACACTGATCCTTAAAGAATTACCAAGGTGGGCAATGTTTCTTGCACTTATTATACACATATTGACACAGAAGTATCAATATGTGTATGAATTTCATCCCTGCACCATGTTAAACCAAATGAAAAACCCCCGCAGTTGGATTACATTGAGTTTCTACATCAAAAGTAGGAGGTCTCACCATTTTCTAGCACCTCTGAGCTCCTCGTTAACCTACCTCCCTCAAATATTTTTAATACCACAAACTTCTGAGCAGATTTTAAGATAAACAGTATTTTAAAATCAATATCTCCAAACTGCCTGCTAGAAAAGTGTGCCCTCAGAGCCCTATTTTAAATAATGCTCACCTGATGCTTAAAACCATATTATTTCTCCCCAACCTGTGACAAAGGTAAGATATTGGCCAATATCCAATAGAGTAAAAACAAAACCCTTATCCTTTCAAAGAGATTGCCCGCATCAGCAATGAGGTCAAATCAAAATGCATTTCCATTGCTGTCATGTACAAATTTATTCTAACCAAACAGACATACCGTCTAGCATGGGGATGCAAAAAAACCAACCCCAAACAAAAAAAAAAGTCTTAAAAAGGACACCTATGCTAAAAAGCTCTCTGAAATATTACCTATATCTGTAAGACAGGCTATGGTGAGAACATGATGGCATAAGGGAACAGTATGGTAGAAATGAGGTAAAAAGACTGAATTTCACTTTTCTACAATTCATTTATAGCTCACTACCTCTGCCTAGCCCTGGTACTCCACATTTTGAATGTCATACTTAAAACCTTCTTATTTTCTGCAGTTAAGCAACTGCAGCTAAAGTATAGCATGAGTAGCAATGACTTCTACACAGACACACACAAATCAAAATACCATACAGAACTATTTTTAGTGACTTAGACCTGTCCAATGTTTTCAAAAAACCTTCTGAGTTAAAAATTCTAAGTCTTGTCTCTACCAGAATTTGAGTCATATTCTTTAGAATTTAGATAAAAAAGGATTAGGCTTTATTAACAAAGGAATAGGGGAAAATTTATATTTACATGATTAGGTGAATGTCGGAAGACGAAGTTTTAGACCTCTTGGTCAGACTGTTCTGTCTTTTTTGGTGTTGTTTTCTTTTATCTCAGAAATACTACCAAATCTAAATTAATGGAAATCCAACCTCTGGTGGTTAAATATCACTTAGCAAAACTGGAAGAGAAATTTCAATAACTAGATACTGGATATGAGTTAATGAAGAGATATTAAATCTCCTCTAAATTATTTAATATGCAAAAGTCCCCCGAAAGCCTGTATTTAGTAATGAAAGACATTTGCTGCTTAATTTTTTTTTCTTGTCTGGAGTGAGAGATCACCCACGCAGAGCAAGTACACCTTCCTAACGGTCACAGGGACCTGAGGGACCAATAATAAGAATCACTGCACAGAGTACAGGGATCACTCTCCCGTTTGCCAATAACACCTAGCAAAGCCACAAAGGGTTATACCAGTGAACAAACTCTCTCCAAGAATTGCAGCTCTCCAAAACCTAGTATGCCTAAAGGCTTGCCTTTGGGCTGAATATAACTGTATGAAAAACAATTGACTTCATGCTAATAATAAACTAATTCTTTATTCTAAAGCAGCATCCTTTGAGGTTTGTCAAGCACCCTCAATCTATTTAGAGGCAAGAGAAATACATTATTCTGAACTTGAAGGAAACCCTCCAGTAGAAGGCTCATGCAAGATGACATAACCTTTATGCTACTGGAACAGATTATTTCAAAAGCTTCTCAGTTCCTTTCTCGCTTCACATGACACCTCTCAAGGATGAGGCTGCCCTGCAACCTTTTCCTGTTTATGTACAGGTATTCTAATCAATGAGAAACATCAGCTCACAAGTTTGAGGCACATTTCCGTAAACTGAAAGAAACGTACCTGCCTTGCATGGAATTGTAAATAGCACACAAAGAAAGATTTTGCTTGCATCCAATTGTGAGATCTTAAGTTCACGGACCGAAAGCAAATCTCTGTGCATGCAGTCAGTGTTGGTTTTGTTTGGGTTTTTCAAGGTAGTAGAACTATTTGGCTTTAGAAATAATACCACTCAAGTTCAGCAATCATACTTTGTCTCTTCTTCCAAGAAAAGGATAAAGAAGCACAGAAGTATTGAAACTTCACAGTAAATGTCTTTCCTGTACTTGATCAATGGACAAATAAAATATGAGTTTCAGATTACAAGGTTTAATGGGAATTACTGAAAGGAAAATTAACTAGCATTTCTACTAGCTACACATATTAAGACAATAAATGAGCTTACTTACTGATGCCTATGTATCCAAAGACAGAGAAAAATAAAAATTATGAGACAAAGCAGATTTAAAACTAAAGAGCTTAGTTCCATTTAATTTGCTATAAACACCAAATTAAGAAAACAAGACACAAGGCAGCACCACAAATGAAAGATGACTGTCTTCGGACAACTAAATACAGGAAATATTGTCCTAAAATTCAGGAAAAATGTTAATAAAATGTATTTCCCAAATAATAATTTCCTAAGGTATACCAGTGACTTGAAATCAAATATTTGACAGAAAAAAACCAGGTAATTTGCAATTACTTTTATTGAAGCATGTTATTTTCTTTAAAATCCTAAGGATTTTCATTTATCTTCTAAGGTTTTTTACTAGTTTGCGTTTAATCAGTTCCTTAGCCTGATGGATATGAGTATGTCTTAGCTATCTGCAAAGACATCTGAGAGAAACTATTCCAAATATGGTATCTTCTTTGGTGCAATGAAAACTATTGTTAGTCAAAATGAACACAAATCTAAGCCTCGAAGTCAAGACTGCCAATCTGTAAATTTGCACCTACATGTTGCAGTACTAAAACAGCAAGAAATCTTTGCAGGTAAAACCCCAGCACAACGAGGCTTTTTTTCTGGGTTTAGCATAAGGGGTTCCTCAGTACAAAAGGCAGATGTATCCATTGGGATATCCAGTTCCCACAGATAACCAGCTTTATATCACTGCCAGTAAAATTAGAAGCGAACCATTAATTTCAGTAGAAATTTAGTTAAATGCAAAAGAAATGGGGCTTTTATCCAGCAGGGCACCTCACTGTGTGTGTACATGTACAGATGTGATCTCCTGTGGTTCACAAGCAGAAGTGCTCACATGCAAAAATGCAACTATGTGCTACTGTTGAATATATGTTTTTCCTCCCTTCCTGCCCAAGCAGTACACTTCACAAAGGCAAAAGGCATGGGAGGAAATTCAGCAGCTAGGAGAAGCTATGCTTGCTTCAAGTGTAGCTCCTCTGTTTAGACAGAAAAGCTCAAGCTCTGGAATTCTTTCAAACAGAGAGGCTGCACTCAGATGGCCAACAGTTAAAGCAGCAGTGATACACTCTGTCACGCCTCCTTAACATTTTATAAACTCTATCACAGCATCTGGAAAATTTCAACTTTCTGAGCAGAGCAAAACAACTAACTATTGAACACAGAGCAGAAGTTGGGCAGTCCTCAGCGATATCAGCAGCCTCCAAACATATTATCAATGCTATGCTCTTCAGCATTACTTGGTTTTAAAATACAAACATAGATGAGTAAGTGTGGCAAGCTTATCAACACCACCTCTGGTATGATACAAATATTAATTGGCTAGTCTCCGCTATAGTATTTTCATACTGCGAGTTAAATTGTTGGGAGTCCACAAACTTCAGATTCACAGAAGCATGAAAAGGTAGGCATCTCTGTGGTATTAGCATTTTATGAGCATATAATAGGTAAAAGATATACTCATTGAACTGGCAGTGGTTCCTCTATCTTGAGAGTTCCTTTACCTTTAATTTCAATATTCAAACAGTTTCAAATTTAGAACAAAAAACTCCACTTTACCCAACAGAACATTTCTCACTATAGCAAATGGGGACCCTCGGGCGACAGTTTCACTGGATGTGTTCAGGCTTTGAAAAATGTAGCACGCTGGCCTGGGTTTGCAAAGGCACTAAGGGAGCCCAGTCCTGGCTCACCCTGGTAGTAACAGCCTGCTGTAGGCTCTTCCTCCAGAAAAAACCCATCTGGTTATACCCAGCTTTTTGCCACCTTAAAACCTGTTAAAGATTCCCCTGTGCACTACAAGAAATCCCCATTAGCAGGTCAACTTGGTTTTTCTTTCTCTCCTTTTTATTTTCTGGATGTTTGAGAACACCAAGCAGCGGTGGAGACCCCTTCATAAAGAAAAGCCTTTTTTGACCTAGACTGCGTGAAGCAATATCCCTGGAAAGTGAATCATGTCTTCGGTCACTATTTTATTGATATCTCACATGTAATACTTACATGGTGCTGTCGCCAAGCTCTTCATAGAGGTTATTGGCAGCGGTGCTTGCTGGTTTGCCTGCTGGTAAAGCCATCTGGATTCTTGCAGTCTTTGCACATTCAGCCTGTCGCCTTTGGTAAACCATGTAGGGAAGGAGAAATACTCATTAGAAACACTCTACACCCTAACATAAGCCGAGATGTAAAGTTTTCTGTTTTTTCCTGCAGTTTCTTCTTCAAAGAAAAGTAATAACATGTTAATACTTTTCTGTCTTTTTCAGTTCTTTTATTTGCTCTCTCTTGGTGGAACCCCAGAGCTCCCCCTGGACTGAAACCTCCTGCCCAGCAGTATGTCACCGGCACAGTGGGTATTTCCCAGGACATAATGTCTGTGCTAGCTTTGGCACTGCTCTCCTTAGGAGGTTTATCTGTTTTGGCTGCCCAAGACTAACAGTGGAGAGAGTAAGGTCTTTAGTCAAGTGCTTCATTCAAGTGCCAAGAAACTGCAATTTTAAACACAAAAGAAGTCTCTGGCAAAGTTTAAGTTATCGCAACTCTTTTCTCATTAGAGTTGGCTAGGAAATTTCGGTCTCAATGAACAGTTTTCCTGACAAAATTAATTTTTTTAACGGGTAAATTCACTATGACTCAAATGTTGTTTTCTATCTGGAACACAAAGCCTGTGGTCCCTCAGGCACATAACTGGGGAAGCGCCACTGAGGTGACATGACTGATCTACCTCACTTTGGTTTTGAGGGCAGTTGACACCTGATTCTTCCTAGGGAAGTCTCTCTGTGCACCCTATCCTCCCATGCACTTGCTTCCTTAAGGAATACCACACTCATGGAAATATTTACTTTTTTTTTTCTCCACAAGAAACAGGCAGTGTCCTGAATCACAGTACCTTTAACGTGTGCCAGCATGCAGTACCAAAATGCACCGAGCAGCCAGACAAGTAACTTTTAACCTTGCCATACCAGGTGTTTGGAAGCAAGTTGGAGTATAGGAAGTAACTCTTACTGAACGTCAAGTACACCGCCTTCTTAAAAATAAAGACTGGTAGGCTGTCAGTATTGCTATACAAGCTGTTAGAAACAAAGCTGAAAGTAAGTACTTACTCTTTGAATCTGTTTTGTTATGCAAAAAAAGACAGAGATAAAAAGGAAGGTTAAATGAATTCTGTTTGCAACAATTGTCCTAAACAGTGAACCTAATAGGAATAATAAACTAGATGCTACTTAATTACTCCACATGTAAAATTACAGAAATAATGACATGTTTAAAGAATCATAATTTTCAGAGCTGAATAGTGTTTAGCTGCTATTTGTGACACTCTTGAAACAATTCTGCAGTCAGCATAAACATGAATTACAGTGGGGAAAACTGCTTTGAGCTTACAGAAAACACACCCAGAGAAAAGAGTACAACTTGGAAACCTGACTACACCTCATGATATTTCTTTAACAGCTGGACTACTAGGGATGCATTTTCAGAACTGTTTTCTCATCCTAACATCGTTCAAGAATGCTCTAGAAGACATCTTCAATAGTGAAGGAGTATTATTTTTCGTTGCTATTTGGAAGGTACTGGTCTTTTGTGATTAGGAAATAATACATTATTTTGAGTAACCTTATGGGGTTGTACTGGATAGTGTATTTCACGTACACTATTCAACAGAAAAGAGTAATGATAGTTTCTGGCTTGTTTACAGGTCATAACTGTAGGCACTGAGCTGCACTTTGACAGTGATAACTTTATAAATTAAATGAGTTTTCTTTTCAGCAACTATTATTTTTACCAAATTTAGTAAGCTGATCACTGATCTGGAAAGCACTGAAAAATACACCTACATAAGAAGTTTTAACGGTGAGAAAATCTTAACATTTCCATCATATGTGCTGTGAATATGACCATTACGTTTATCCCACCATAATCTCTACACTCAGTGCTCCTGAGCACCTACTTTGCTAGAATGTTATCAGGAAAATACTGAAACTTCTTTTGAAAAGGAGAAAAAAGGCTGTAATGCAAAAACAAGGCAAAAGGCTCAGGATCGCTTTTGGTTTTTTGTTGATATTAACACTAAAATTCCTTTTATTTTTCATCAAAGTGTATTATTCACCTTGGTCTGCTATAAATCCAAGTCATACTTCTAGACAATAAAAATGTGATTTTGTTGATGAAATGCAGTTAGGCAGATTCCTTAAAGCTCTTAAAAGAGATTGATAATCTTTTGATAATTTAACAGATGTCAAGGAAAAATAATGCTTTTAGATTTCTTAAAGAAACAGGCAATTCGGATAACAACAACCTATTTGTAGGTTGAACTGGTTCAGTAGTGTTTCATTGGAGGCAGATTTTATATACAATTTTGGGAGAAGTAAAGCAGCTTTGCGATGCACTGGCGCAGAAGTTTGTCAAGCTCTTTCAAACTCCTTTAAAAGGAGTTTATCCTTTGACCCAAGCCCTGCAGAAACTGGGATGTAAATCTAATCTGAAGAATGTGCGGTAATCAGCAAGGAATGGCTATCCTTGGCTGTTTTTCTGGTGTTGCTAATGAAAACTGTCTCAGGCAGGCAGCTGCGTTTTTCATGTATGATTTTTAAATGATGACTAACATAGTGCTTTGCTAACTCCTAACCGCAATGCAGAAATGAAAAATACTCAGTTTAAATCTCACCTGGTGTATTGTACCACATTACATCTCTTGCAGCATTCAGATTGTAATTGCTTTTTTGTAATGCGTGTGTATCAGCGCTTCCATGCCCTCTCCTCCCACAGACTGACGTACCACTGCAGCAACAGTCTGCAGAGGCACTGACACTCCATTGCCCTCAACACAATGAAGGCAGCATTTTTTGTAGAAACAAAACAAACAAAAAAAGAAAAACAAACAAACAAAGGGCTCTGGGAACTCCTTCCTACATGGTCCTGCAGAGCAGAGGTTTTCCATGATGAGGGCATGTTACATTACAGCTAGTTCACCAATTTTAAAATTAAGATAGAAAGATACGGAAGTACAGACTGACATATAAGGAATTTGAATATAGCCATTTACTGGGGAAGATGCACAGAATTATTTATATTTTGATTTCGTAATGACTGAGTGCTCAGAGCATGAACGTAGAATTAGAAATCTTTCATAAAAAGAAATTAAAGAATAAATATACAGCCTTTAAGTCCAAATACATTGATTCTAAATACAAGTCAACCTGAAAAGGCTTAGTTGAGAGGAGCCTGTTAGTGATGTTGATCCTTCAATTAGTCTATTAGCCAAATTAAACCTCCTGAGACTATGAGAGGTGAGTGGAAATATCAAGAAGGCTCTCTCTGGTGTATGCTGCTTTAGATAGTGCTAAAATGGCACAAAATCAATTCTTCATGACACATTTGCAATTAAGTAGCAAGAGAAGCTAGGGGAAAAAATATAACTGTGAGTATTTTAGGATTTAAAGAAAAAAAGTTGAGTCCTCTTATTTTGCCCAAGCCACGCAATTTGATTTTTGAATCCCTTACTGAAACAGCACCTTCTTCCTCTTTTTTATTTTTTTCCTTTTTTTAGTATGGAATTCAGCTCTGAATCTATACATGCATTTCAAACATCTGGCTTTCAACCTCGTGTTTTGGCATGTATTCTAAAACAGTTACTGCACCACAACTTTAGAAAGCGGAGCAAGATGTGCTGCCTGTGCACTGTCTTTTAATGCACAGCCCACATCAAGCATTGACCAACTCTTGCGATGAGAGGAAAATTAAAAATATCTCCCTGTATACTACTTTCTTTGCAGTGAAGGATAATTTTCAAAGCAGCTCTGCTAAGAAACGTAGCATCCCAAATACAACGTTGCTACCACAAAAAAGAGAAGTACTTACTGTCTGTAGCTGACCATAACGATCAGAATAGCTGGCACACAGCAAAGGATGATTATGACGGCCAGAGCAAGTAACGCCCCTTCCGTGTAGCCTACAGCTTGCGCCTGCTTCTTGACGTTTGCTACCACGTCTGGGGTGCGGATTTCCAGGATGCGACCCCCCTGCCCCAGGTATGGCTGAAACTCTTTATTGATGTCCAGCAGCTTGCCATCCAGGAACCTTCAATGTCGCAAAAGAAAATTATTACAGCCAAGTTCATTAACCCTGTTTGAATTATCGCATAGTTGGGTTAATAACTGTGGTCTGATAAAGCACATAGCTCTTATGTGCTTAAGAACATTAGTAATTCCCTGTAATCCCCATGTCAGTGACAGCTCCAGTGTACTTGATACCAGAACACAGTTTAAACACTGAAAAGGAGAGCTGACCTGAAGCTTATCCTAATTTCTAGGGACAAAAAGTTCTCCGTGCCACTGACAGCAGCATGGCAAATGGCTTGCTTTGTGCTTCCTCCTTCAGCGGTCTGTTGCAGAGGATTAGCTAACCCTCCTGCACAGATCCCTAAAGACCACTCTGGCCTAAAGATCAACTTGATGCTACTCTAAAAGTGGGTAGTTTTTAGGGGACTTTCCTCAGCTTCTTAGGGAAATTCTTCAGCTGGAGAAATAGCTTAAAGTTTGTTCCCTTTTGACTTCTCTTTCAATATCAAAATGAAAAGCGATTTGGAAAAAGTACACTTTTATTAATCCTCGTCCTCTTTCCCCCCAGCTGCATCAGTTCTGACCCTCATTCTTGCATCTGCTCTGTCCAGTTAGCCCCCATGTTTCTGCTGTTTTCTTTAACTGTAGTGCTGCCACTACATATCAAGTTGAATAAGGCTTTCCTCTTATAGCATGGCTGTTTGATGGCAAGAGGAAAACACAGAGATGATCAGATGAACCCATCTCCAGTGGGAGTGAACAGAGTAGCTGAAGAATGTGCCCCATCAACATTTGGCACAGTGCTAAGGGACTTTAGTTACTGGCTTCAGGCTATCTGACAGCATCCTCTCCATCACGGCAATTTTTGGGTGCAATCTGTAGCAACATGCCTGAGAGATGCAGGAGACTTGTAACAAGGAAAACGATCACGTTTTAGAAAATGCGACATCATCTGTACTCATTTCCTTAAAGTCAGATTAGAGGTCACAAAAGATGACAGAAGGAGATTACTGTAAACTGCCTCCTCTTTTTCTTGTTTTGAGAAGATGTTGGAGTTTCACACCTCTTCTAAAGGGAAAAGCACTAAATGCTTATAATAAACTGTAATTTAACCTTCAGGGGTTCTCCAACACTGCCAGATACCAGAACAATCTTGACTAACATTATGAATTACAGGAACAACAGGCTGTCTATGCAGCTATCAGACAAACACCGGTTATCAGACAAACACCGGTGTCAAGCAGGCATGCAAGGCACACTGTTAAGACAGAGTTAGGTCCTAGGCATAGTCTGGGGTATCAGCTAACCAGGAACCACGCACTGCTGTCCCTGCTTGTCACTTATAATAATGTCCGTCTTCCGTTTGTGCATCACTTATGAGAGGAACCTGGAACAAGACAGCTACCAAGTAGAAGGCTGGAACAGTCTCTGAAAGAACAAATGCAGTGGATGAAGTTCAGTATCTGATCTGATAATTGGCAGTTTAAAGACAGGTAGCCAAATGTAAATCCTTATCAAAGGACCTCATTTCCCACAGGAAGGAAAATTTTCTATTGGGTGACTTTTGGATAGCAAACAGTATCTTTGTTAAAGAAATCTACTTCAGGAGTTTGAAAAAATATTTTAGCCAAGGCTTTAACTTCCAAAGGAAAATAAAAATTCTTGGATCGCTTTTGAAGTGAGGATTGACTGTCTCGCAAGCTGCCAAGCAGTAGGCTCCAGCTGTAAAGATCAAAGTAGGAGGCACCCGTTAGGATGGAGAAGGATCCTGCTGGCTCTATAGCCAGAACCCTTACACATACAGCGGTTCTCCTGAAGAAAGAAAGTCAAGTGAAAAATGCTGAGATAAAAAACCACCAAAAAACATCAGCTAAAAAAATATTCCGAAAGGATTTCTGCATAAAAAATCTGAATGTCTAAAGAAAGTCTGAAATAGCTTTTATTTCCTTAGTCTGACCATGAGACAGAAATTAGACTGCTAAAAGACCATTTTTAAGGGCCGTTAATTTCTTACAATTGATTTCCTCTCAAATTAATTTACTGATAAACTCTTACAGCTTTGTTTGTCGTTGGTTCTTTTGGAACTTTGGGAGAATGCACTCTGATCGGGGTGTGTAACGTATTATCTGGATCTCAGAATATGCGGAACAATTCATCCTGAATGATGAAATAGTGCTGGTTTCATGATACTAACTCCAAAGAAAAGCAGCGGCTGCGCACTCACAGACCCACAATTTCACAAAAAGCAACCCAGCACGTTTTGAAGAATAATTTCCCTTCGTATTAGTATGCTCTGCTGATATTCACAATTAATTCCTTGATTTCTTCCACAAAACATTTTCTTGGTATTCGAGTAAAAATCCCTTTTCACAGCTTAAAGACCTGTAATGATGGTTCACAAGACATAAACCAAGCAGAAACAGAGCTCGAATTCTTTTGTTGTACGCTAGATGTCACTGGTGCATGTTACATGTCCTTTGAGGTGGCAAAAGCATTCAAGTAGGACTGAATTAAATCTCTGGATGATTTTAACAGTCTCTCAGTTAAAATTCTGTTAGCATTTTCTTGACAAATCCTATTTTAACAGGTTCGTAACTCAACCGTGCGCATTTACTCCACGATGAAACATGACACATAGTGCAAAAGATTCAGGCAGGGTAAGCAATTTTATTTTTAATGGTGGACATTTTCCACTTAATATATGCAGGAGAAATTTTTGGGAATCAACTGATTTTTATGCTCCAATAAATCAAACCCTCTTTCATATAGAAGATAAAAAAGGAGGCTGATCATTTCAGTCTGTAAAATTATTTAAGTGGCCCCAAAGTCTTTTTAGGAGTTTGTGGTAGAGGGAGGAAATAACAAAGCAGTTACTATTCAGACCCATTTTCTGGTGTAACCAGACAGATTCCTGATTAATAAAAATGTCAGGCAATCGGTCATAACAGCCTTAAGGAAAAATATGAATCTCTCATTGTGTATCAGTCTTATAAAGTACAGGATAGGGAAAAATCAGCATGTCTTGAGAGACTCGCGGGTTTTCCCCAGCTGGCAGTGATGAACACAGCATGGCTGTAACGTCCATGACTTCTAAATCATGCCTTTGTTTTCCAGCTGAACATTTTGCTTGAATGCAAATATGTGGGATTGGGCTACTTGTTTGAGACTCCTGGAGGTGAGGCAGCCCATTCAAAATAGCCTGGTAGCAAGTATGGCACAGTCCGTGCATGTGCTGTCGTTGCGCACATCGGCATTAATCCAGCACATCCAGAGTGCACTGCATCTCCTTGCAGCTCTTAATTTCATAGAGGACTGTTGGACACGACCTGATGTATTGGAGCGACATCTCCTCAAGGTGACTATGGGCGCCTCAAACATTAGCTTTGGTTTGGTGGGGTTTGCTTCTTGTAGAAATGCAGCTCTGTAGCTGGTCATGAATGTGACCTTGCCCAGCTGCTGATGGGCATTAGCTGTTTTGCCTACCCTTTCCTCCCAGCTCCTGTGAAAGCCAGGCACCACTGGGCTCAGCACTGACTTGTACCTGGCTCCCAGCACCAATCACGAGGAGTCACCAGTGACATCTGTCTGTATGCCAACAGCACTCCACCTGTGAAGTAGAACAGGCCACTGTGCTCCACTCTTGTCCTCAACTTACCCCACCACTCCTTAAAAGACCTTCACGATAATTGTTTTCAGTGACAGGTTTAACATGAACTCTGAAAAAGTCAGGGCCTCCACTATGTTCTACAAGCAGAAGCACAGCAGGGTGTTCCCAAAAAGCCCATTTAAGAAAAGCCACATGTATCTTCCAAAATCACAGCTGTCAGAATTCATGTACTAAATCTGTGCTGTTGGTACAGTTCTCTCTTCTGTATACATCACGAAATTTTTGAACACTTGGAAAATATCTTTGCTAATTAAGTTTTTAAAATGGAGGCTCCATCTCTTTCTGACTTTCTAACCTTTCTCCCTTCATATCCAGTTTATTAAATGATCCTTTCTCCTATTGATGTCTTTTCTGCTGGGATCCAGAGCAGCCGGACAGCTGTGACTCCTGGCAATCCCAATGAGGGGACAACCAGTGTTACTGTGTCCTGTGACTTGGGCAGGAAGAACATTGAGCCATCACTCTAAAGATCAAAACTCCAGAAAAGATGGTCACAGAAGGAATTTCATTCTAGATTTGAGTAAGCACCTGAGCTGAGCCAAATCTCTTGAGTTTCACCCACTTGCTAGTGAAAACTTATTAACTTCAGATGTGAAGGTACAGAACTCTCACTTCATTTTTCTCCTTGCTTTAGTAAGCTGACACTCACCTCTACCCTAAAGCCAGGAAAGCATTCCCTGGGATTGTGCTGATTTAAATATTTGAAAGCTTTTGAAGAGAGAAAAGGGGGAGGGGGGGGGAAGCCGAGTATGCAGGCACATGGAGCATTTTAATGAGGTTGCTTCTAAGCTGATACCCCATACGTTTGCAGACCAGGCAAATGAATAACCTTCCCTTCACATTTGAAAAACTGCTTTTTAACCTATCTTAACTCTATGTTATTTCTGTGTATTTCACTAGGCACACAAACATCCCTAATCCCTAAACATCCCCTACTAGCTCACTTTCATATAATAATTAACAGCAGATTTGCAGAGCGCTTTCCAAAGTGAGGAATGAAATGGTGTCAGAATTTTCAACTGTCATCAAGGTCATATAAATTTTCTGAACCTGGTCAGCACTGAATAATATCCTTTTGACCGTGAGCATTTCTAATGGGATCCCACTTTGGCCATACTCTAAACTGGCTATGACTGGAAGAAAACAGACCTCACTGAATTTACAAACTGTAAAAATAGAAAAGTAATGATAAAGAGGGATCAGTAGATAGTCTGGGTGTAAGGCAGTGCGATACATTTCATGGAGACCAGTTTTGGGAGCGGGTTGGGGTACAGCAGTCACTTACAGGAGCACTGCAAGCAGAATTACAGAGGTACTTTTTCTTAAGAGAGAAAGGAAAATGGTTATCCATCAGGGACTTCTGCTGGCTTCCCGCCAGGTTTCCTTAATTTCCACTTCCACTCTTGAATAAAATTGGGAACAAAATAGACACCCCATTCTGGGAACGATCAGCAACTCTGGCAGTGGACAAGTGAACACGAACTCCCAGTGCGTCACCGAGACCTAAAAAGACTGCAAGACCATGGAGATACCTACAAACAAAAAATGGCCACTAGAAGGAAAGAGGCTGTACCGCTGCTGCTTTGAAAGCTACCACTGCTAAACTGCATCTGAGTTTTATATTCCTAGTTCAGCAAGTGATGCTGGAAGACTGGAGAGGGTTTACAGAAAACTGTAAGTGATTAAAAGAATTATAACGTAGCCCAGAGAGCAGAGGTCAAGGAACTTCTCAAGAAAGAAAATTTAAGAGGACGATGTGATCACAAGCCTACACCTTGGTGGGAACCAGAAATTAAAAGCACCAATTGGATGCTTCAATCTAGCACTCAAAGTCAAAAAATATAACAAAACTATATGACTAAATCTAGACCAAAAAAAAAAAAAAGCGCCTAATTTTTTACAGTAAAAATAATTACCCTGCAATAACAATACAAAGGTTGTAGTTGATTGGATTTTCTTGAGCAGTGGCTTTGCTGAAAGACACGCTCAAAGCAGAAATAATTTTGAGAGTTCCTATGGTCTTTATTGTACTAGGTCAGACTGATCACAGTGATCTTTTCCAACCTGTAAACTCTGAATATATGCAGAACTTTATTATGCTATAATTCATCTGTACTAAATTAAGAGCTCAGAGAACAAGGCCTTTTTCAATCACAGTCCACCGAGATGGCTCACAGTCGTTGGCTTTTTAGGCTGCTGACTGACATGCTGCTTTATACCATCACGGAACAGTCTGGTCTAGTTTTCACTGAGATAAAAAGCAAACACAAAGGTGAAACACATGCAAAAAACCCCAAAAGATAGCTGCTGCTTTACAAGAAGAGCCTGATTTGCATTTTCAATGTTTGGAATCATATGTAGAATGCTGAAACACAAAAATATAGTTTCCAACAAAATGATTCTACAGCCATATTGATACATTGGCAGGTGAATGGGTTGAGATACTAATTTTGTCTTAGAATCTACTTGCCGTTAGTCATAACTCAGAAAAAAGATGTTACCATTAGTTACCTTAATTTCATTTCCTTACCCATGTCACCTCTGGCTTCTCTCCTGATGCAGGCAAAGAGCAGTGTTACCTCTGGATCCCAAAGCAGAGGCATGCCAGAGTGCTATGCCACCAGAGGTGCAAATGCTAAGGTGCAAAAGCCCAGGCAGAGGGGCACCCTATCAAACCGCTCTGCTGCACTGACCAGAGCTGGGCCGTTCACTGGCAATATGCTGTGAGTATAATCAGGCAATAAAAAGCCACCTCTTATGTTTTATGTGACACTGGAATTTAACCACTAATTTGGAAGCTGATTGAAAAGGCAAAACAACATCAAATTAGGAATATAAGTGGCCTGTCTGCTGTTGTTCACCATCTCCTCTAGCAGCTGGTGAGATGGGCCCATGGAGATCTATCTGCTCAGCCCACTGGACATCTGTGAGCACTACCGATTTCCTGCATGTAGATGTACACCTGGGTCACGCCCCAACATCTATGCTTCAGACTAGGTGCACACCACCTCTCTTCCTTCCCCTTCCCTTTCTTATTCTCCTTCAGTTTCACAAAAAAACAAAAGACAAAGAGACATGCTCCAAACAGAAACTGTGGAAAGTCTGAAGGTCAACGGCTGGAGCACCAAAGTCCTCGCTTGAAGATTGTAGAGAAGTTTTGGTACACAGAAAGTGAGTTCCTTCAGAGGAATTTAAACTGGAAGCTCCTCCATAGGGTGGACCAAATGCATTGCAAGCTCTCATGGCCACAATGTCTAAATCACACTTGCTGAGGCCATTCAGCTCAAGGGAACAGACTGAATCTAGTAACACTGTAAACTCCCAAGCTGCACATAGGGTAGGTGCAGGGACATGCAACAACTGTTTCAGTAGATTTCTCTGTTCCTGTTGTGTTGAACCATTTGCTAACACAGACAGATCAGCAGGTTTCAAAACAGTCCACTGAAATACAGGAAGAGCAACAAATAATATACTTACTTAAAAAGTTCGTTCCTCATTATAGCTCTATTTGTTTGCGGGTCGATTGCGTAGACCATAAGGTCAGACTTGGTGTAATCCTCTTCAGAGTACCCATCCCCAAACCTCCGCGCACCAATGGATTCCACCACGACCGTCGCACCAGGAATCTGATCTTGGACATAGCGCTCCAAAATCCTAAAGATGAGATGGAGTCAGAAAGCTGCAGTGATTTATTTGTGCTGATCAAGACTGAAAACAGCCCAAACAAGATACTACTAGACAAAAACCACAGGCTTAGAAGTAGGGTAAACTTCAGAGCACTTTTAAAAAAAAATTCTGCTCCAATATAATCTCTTAAAGGCTGAATTCTTGGAAAAAGCTTAGCAGTGTTAGGAGAGGTCATCAGAAATAGTGTCTTTAAGTCTTTGTATTTATGACATCAGTTGAGTTTTAAGTGGCTCCTGGGAAACACCATCTCTATTTCACCAAAAAAACCCCCTGTCATTCTTTTATTAAGCTATAAGATTTCAGAAGTCTTCAATTCCAGCCTTCCACAGCGTGCATACAAAAAATTTTCATCCACAGAAACAACTACTTCAACCATTTTTGTTGGGGTATTTCATCTGGCCCTCCAACACAGCACAACATACCAGGTGCCAGAATGTCTGCTACTCCAAAAGGCACGAGCAAGTTCTACAGCCATCAGAAAGTTGGAATATTGAGCTGACGTGTTTACCACAGGCAAAAAATAAAATGAACTGCAGAAGTTCTACAAGCAGAAGAAAGATAGGTTGATAAAATTCAGCGGCAGCTATGCCTGAAATAACAAGGGCGTAACAACAATAAACCAAACCAAATCTGTTCTTTTTCCAAAGAGAAGGATTCATTACGAACTGCCAGGGCACAGAATGACATACTCTGCAGATATGTATATGAATCACAATGTGTCAATACACAAGATAAATGCAATTCTGGGGAATTAAAATTTATTAGAGAAGATGACATTTACTTGCAATTTTATTAATTCTTGTCATGTGACATTTTATTACTGAATAATCTTTCCTTTTTTTTTTTTGGACAACTGAATGTCTGCAGACATCTTAGTATCTGCTTTTGGAAGACATTGTTCCAAATTCTAAAGGACTTCACTGGGCACCTGAGACGTTTTGGCACAGATAGCAAGCACACCTGTACCTCAGCTACGGAGTTTATGGGAAGTTACAAGCGTAACTCAGTACTGCTCTAACAAGCTGCTTTAGAAAGGACAAGACCTTAATGAAGTTTTAAAAAACCACATTCTTTTCCTTCCTCCTTGTCTGGTCCACTACTTTAGTGAAATTTGCTGAGTTCCTGTAGCAGACTGCTCCTCTCTATCTGCTTCACTGTGCACCCAATGAAAGAAGTTTTAGAAGGATTACAGCTCAGCTGGATGCCCTTCAAATTCTGTACGCAACAGGGAGAACTGGTACTCCCATCAGGTCCGTAGCTGGGGCTGACAGCCAAGACGGTGGGGACCCCAGCTCTCATAAGAATGGATGGAGCCAGAAGGAAAATTGAAAGCTGTCCAGATGTTGCCATCAGAAGAGCTTTATCCACAGCTGTTGGGCAAGGACAGAATACATGTCAGAGAAAACGGGAAACACGTCTTTGCAAACAGATTTGCTCATGGCATGATGTTTCCAAACTGGGACCGAGAAGGGTTCAGTTAAAATCCATATAAACAAAGGCATAAAAGCAAGCATCATCAATACTGTATATAAGGGCAAAGAAGCACTGAGAACTAAACAAGCTGGACGTCTAAACACTCCATCAGAACTATGAGTTATGGGAAAATACAAGATGTTCTGGGCTAATTTATGTGATCGGAATATCAAATCAAAAAGCAATAGCTGAGTTAGGAGGCAAAAGCAAGGGAAGGAGTTGAAACATGCTGCCCGATATATCAAGGATGCTCTAGGGTGCAGAGGAAGACGAATCTCATAAAAAAGAACATCAATGGCTTTAGGAAGTCACTTTTTGCTTTAAATAGTTGCTGAGGTTACATTTTGCTGTTTGCTTTTTTCCTGACACAAGATTTCCAAAGTAAAGTAATGCTGTCAAAGCAGTATCACCATCTCGTAATTTTTCAAGACCGCTGATTCACATTTATCCACCCAGTTTCTCTGCTCTTTGTGTGAAAGTTTAGTGTACCCTTAAAATACAAGCTTTTCTGTAAAATTTTGAAAAATCCAAGTCTGTCAGACCCAGGTCCTATCCTAGCGCTGAATATCTACTCTTAGTGCAGAGCCATTTTTGGAGGGAAAATAAAAATATAGATTGTCTGACACATTGCTAGTTGACTGGCATCCTCTAAACAAGCACTTCCGTTGTTTGCAGATATGGTAAACTCTACTCATCTCTGCTTCTGGCACGCACTTAACTGGCAGCTAGGGTGATAACCTGTCACAGACACCTCAGTAACAATAATTGTCCAAGGTAAAACTTGACAGAACAAATCTGGGATAGGTAGATTACTATAAAAAAAACCCTCCAAACATTATGTGAATGTAAATGACTAAAAGAAACCACAACTGTCTTCCGAATGGTGTTTTGCACAAGGATTCAGATAGACCAAATATGTAAAAGATTTTTTTCCCTAATTAGTATACAATCCTCTTCTGTTGCTGCAGGGGGGGGATGCTTTTGTTTCCTTGCACAGAACTATGATTTCACCCAAGACAGAAATGCCCTGTAAGGCTGGAAGGTTAGAGAGTCACTTCTAGCAGAACTGGTAACAACATTCCCTTTTCTCAGAAATTCCTGGCGTGGCTTCTGCTGGAATTCATTGCCTTTGAGAATATCTTTGTCTAAAATATGATTAGAATTGAAGAACAAATAGCATACTACTATCTATGAGCAAGAGGTACACTGCAGCCACTGGCTTTAACAGACATTACAAGAAACACCACAAAGTATAACGGAATGACAGTAGTATTTCATCTGAAACACACAAACTGCACATTCAGGTTGAAATATGTAATAAAAATGCACTGAAGACTGAAAAGTAGCAATTAGAGAATGGCACTTAAAAATAGGGCAGTACCCTGTAGAGTTATTTTAAAAGTCACTCAGCTGAGCTTGTGAGGCTGAAAACACTGTAGTGTTTTAAAACTGCTGAAAGTGGCCACCTGCTTGGCCATACTACCCACAAGAACCAATTTTTAAGTAACAGTAGCATCTGCAGTTTTACTGTATGCATCAGCAGAACTTAGCTTAAAATTAGTTTGTCACTTGTCAACGCAATGGGGATCATTAGCATCCTCCCAACAGTGGTGTAGTGAGCAGCAGAACCAGCAACTTAACAGGCAATGTTAAGACCTTCCTACTGCTCTAACTCCATTTAGCTCTGCAGACATAATATAACGAACAGAAACGCCTCCCAGTGTATCTTCACTACCATCACCTTCCCAATGCCCACCAGTGAAATGAAACACAGGACAAGAGGATTTTCACTGTCATTGAGGACATAATGTGGCCCTAAATATCCTGAAAACTCAGAGATTATTTTTTTCATCTTTAGAAGTGAAAGAAATGGAAAGGCAAAAAAATAAAGGGATGTTGGTTTGTTGGTTGATGGCGTTCAGCTTTCCAGAACACTTCTGAAACCAGCAGACCAAACCCCAAAATCCAGGATAAGGCACCACGTTCCTGGGCCACACTGAGCACTACGCCCATGAGCTGCTGTGCGCACCTTAGACATCACGCTGCATGGCAGGGTTGAGGTTGCTGCACCCCGTTACATGCAGAGAAGACCCTGCTGAGCACAGGGCTAAACTAAGGGGCGCACCCTGGCATCGTTGCATCGCGCTGCATTCTCCCCATAGCTGCACAAATCCAGCATGCCAGATGTGTGCCCCAGGATGGGAGAGATTGTGCTCCTGGGAGAGATGCAAAGGACCACTTGGAAGCTTCTTTGGAAACTCATGTGAAAGTTCACACGAGCCAGTTAATTCACCTCAAAATACAAGATACAGAATCAGCCGCATGAGAGCCCAGAAGCAATGGCAACTCAACTAGACTAACACTCACTGTGTAAGACTTGGTAAGTCAGCAGCAAGGATTAACGACCCTCCATTGTCCCTGGCAGAGAAGATAGATGACACGGCTCCAAAGAGCACAGCTACGTTCCAGTAGCTTCATATCCTTGAGCCGAATTGCTAAGCTGTATGCATATCCTCTGAATCAGCACACAAACAAAAGAAACAATTCAATCTGCAGAACATTTTAAATCCTCACCAGTACCTGAATTTAATCACTGCCCAATTGTCTTAGCAGAAAATTCTATGGGGAGAAAAAATGTATCAGTTCTCTAGTAATTTGATAGCCTTTTATGTTCCTGGAGCCCATAAAAATATTTAAAGAAATTTTAAAAAAAAAAAAGAATCCAGCCTTTCTCTCAGGGCACTGAAATAACTGGTACCATAGACTTGGAGCTACAAGGGTTGAAGCCTATATATCCTGCGTAACTTTTGCCTTCTCCACTGAAAATTCTAGCTCTGAAAATAATTTAGTAATAATAATAAATTAATATTCTAGGTATTTGAAAATGTAAGCAAATTTGGCAGCAATACACAGGTGAGAGCATTCAGCTCTGTCGGTACACATCAATACAGACTTTTCATGTGTTTCATTTAACCCAAGTACACTCCCTCAATTTTGCTCAACTTCAGACAAATTCTGGCTGTGTTGAGTTTTTGCAAGGTTAATAACTGACAACTAAACCGCTGGATTTTCAGCTGTACTTTCACAAAGAGGTAAGGACCAATTCCAGCCCCTCCTGTGCGATAGCTCTGGGGGGGGTGATGATGCACTTGGGCCCCAGCTCCCAGATGCCTCATTACGACACAGGTACAGCACAGGGCAGGTTATACAACTTCTGTGGCCTCTGAAGAGGCACTGAGCTGCTTTGGAGCTGCCCACACAACTCAAGAAACTCTTACTAGGCAGCTAAGGCAGCCTGTTTTGTGCTGTGATGTAGAATAAAAAAGCCAGAACTGGGGTTTATTTCAAGCCTAAGACTATTCCTTCTTTATAAAACAAGATTATTTCTACTTTTATATCACATGCAAGGCATGTATCTAGCAGGAAGGAGCACCACTGAGCCAATTTACTCTGCATATAACAATATCTAAATTATTTAGAAAACAACCCAGAGA